GGATGTTACAGGCGGGCAGCTTGGACAGCGGCGTGAGACCCCCGGCCACGCCTGGAAAACATCCCAAAATATCCCAAAAATACCCCAAAAATAGCCCAAAACCAGCCTGGAATCACTGCGGGGTCAGGCCCCCGGCCACGCCTGGAACACACCCAAAAAGATCCCAAAATAGCCCAAAAATAGCCCAAAAATAGCCCGGAATCACTGCGGGGTCACACCCCCGGCCACGCCTGGAAATGAACCAAAAAGATCCCAAAATAGCCCAAAAATAGCCCAAAAATAGCCCAAAAACAGCCCGGAATCACTGCGGGGTCAGACCCCCGGTGACGTCTGGAAACGAACCAAAAAGATCCCAAAATAGCCCAAAAACAGCCCAAAACCAGCCTGGAATCACTGCGGGGTCAAGCCCCTGGTGACGTCTAAAAATGAACTAAAAATATCCCAAAATAGCCCAAAAATAGCCCAAAAACAGCCCGGAATCACTGCGGGGTGAGACCCCCGGCCACGCCTGGAACACACCCAAAAATATCCCAAAATAGCCCAAAAATAGCCCAAAACCAGCCCGGAATCACTGCGGGGTCAGGCCCGCAGCCACGCCTGGAAATGAACCAAAAATATCCCAAAACAGCCCAAAAATATCCCAAAATAGCCCAAAAACAGCCCAAAAACAGCCCGGAATCACTGCGGGGTCAGGCCCACGGCCACGCCTAAAAATGAACCAAAAATATCCCAAAATAGCCCAAAAATAGCCCAAAAATAGCCCAAAAACAGCCTGGAATCACTGCGGGGTCAGACCCATGGCCATGCCTAAAAATGAACCAAAAATATCCCAAAATATCCCAAAATAGCCCAAAAACAGCCTGGAATCACTGCGGGGTCAAGCCCCCGGTGACGCCTGGAAACGAACCAAAAATATCCCAAAATAGCCCAAAATATCCCAAAACCAGCCCGGAATCACTGCGGGGTCAAGCCCCTGGTGACGTCTAAAAATGAACCAAAAATAGCCCAAAATATCCCAAAAATAGCCCAAAACCAGCCCAAAAATAGCCCAAAACCAGCCCGGAGTCACTGCGGGGTCAGGCCCCCGGCCACGCCTGGAACACACCCAAAAATATCCCAAAATAGCCCAAAAATAGCCCAAAATAGCCCAAAAATAGCCCAAAAATAGCCCAAAACCAGCCCGGAATCACTGCGGGGTCAGACCCCCGGCCACGCCTGGAAACGAACCAAAAATATCCCAAAATATCCCAAAAATAGCCCAAAAACAGCCCAAAACCAGCCCAAAAATAGCCCAAAACCAGCCCGGAATCACTGCGGGGTGAGACCCCCAGCCACGCCTGGAAACGAACCAAAAATATCCCAAAATAGCCCAAAAATAGCCCAAAATAGCCCAAAAATAGCCCAAAAATACCCCAAAACCAGCCCGGAATCACTGCGGGGTCAGGCCCACGGCCACGCCTAAAAATGAACCAAAAAGATCTCAAAATAGCCCAAAAACAGCCCAAAAATACCCCTGAAGTGCCCCAAAAAATGCCTCAAAAATCCCCCCAAAAATAACCCCGAAACGCCCCAAAAATAACCCCGAAACGCCCCAAAAATAACCCCGAAACGCCCCAAAAATACCCCAAAATTAGCTCAAGTTTACTCCAAAAATAACCGAAAAACACCCCAAAAATAGCCCTGACACATCCCAAAAAGACCCCCAAAAATAACCCAAAAACAACCCAGAACTACCCCAAAAAATAATCCTAAAGCACCCCAAAATATCCCAAAAATACCCCAAAATATTCCCAAAATACACCCAAAATACCCCAGAAAATGTC